TAACGCGCTATCGACGGTTTTAAAAAACTTTTTTCCTTGTTTCGTGCTTTAAAAAAGAACACATTGTTTTGTTCTTTAAAATTATGAATTTTTGATACTCCCCGCAACTCGATAAAAAAATTTCTCTTGAAAAAATCAACTCAAGTTCCAAAAACTACAATATTTTGCTTACAAAATGCTTTTTTAAACATTTTCTTACGATTTTTTTTGACCGAGTTATACGATTTTTAAATTAAACCTGTATTTTTAGAAATAATGTCGATACTCGGCGAAAAACCATCGCAGACAAAAAAATCGAAAAAGTATTTTGAAGCTTGAAGTTTCAACTGTAATGTGATATCGATAGTTCAAAAAAAATTGTTTATTTTCTTATTTCTAGAAAATACAGCTTTAGCTTCAAAATCGTGTAACTAAAAAAAAAATTAAAAAATTAAAAAAAAAAGTATTTTGTAGGCAAAATGTTGTAGTTTATGAAATTCAAGTTGAATTTCTCGAGATAAATTTTTTTATCGAGCTGCAGAATGTCAAAAATACATAATTTTAAGGAACAAAACAATGTGTTCTTTTTTAAAACACAGAACAAGGAAGATAAAAAAATTTTTTAAGTCACCGATAGAGCGTTAAAGTTGAAACTTCAAGCTTTAAAATGCTTTTTTAATGTTTTGTCTATCATGATTTTTCGTCGAGTTTCAGCGGTTTGAAAATAGCCTAATTTTCAGGGTATGAAAAGTGTCCCCTATTTTTTTTTTTTTAGTATGTTAACAAATTAAAAGATTTTTAAATTAATTGATCTCATAAATCGAGATTGTGTTATCGTATATGATTATCTTGTCAACCGGCACGATTTTATAATGGAAATGTGTCGATGTATATTTAATACATTTTTAATTCACATATTTCAAAATATCTCGTTCATCTAGAAAGCCGAATACGCGCTTTGGATATAGAAGACCGCAGCCCGAAGCATTTCGGAAGCAGACGATCGATCTCGCGTCACTGTTACCAGAATCGCTCGTTTCCTTGTACATCCTGTTCCCGAAAGACACATCCCACGAATACCTCGTTCTTATGCACGGTGCGTGATACAAGATACATTCTTCCTGATCCGATATGTTGATCCCGGGAAAAACGAAGACAATCGAAACGAATTGTAGGATTATATTACCATAGTCGCGCGAATATACGTAAAGTTATACTAGGAAAATTATTTATAAATATAATTTATGATTTGTAACCTTCTGTTTTCACTTAGAAGAAATTATATTTTTGACATCCTATAATTGTAAAGTAACAATGCTAGAAATTGGAAGTTTCAACGAGAGGCGAAGTTTCAGCAGAAAATATTTAAAGTCGCTTAAAAGATTTCAATGTTAGCTTTTTAGCGGTGATGATCGACGATGCGCGTGATCGTTCGGATGAAGTGAGATCGGAAACGCGAGCGGGCGCCGATCTCGTTCACCGACCGAAAAGCGTATTAGACGGCACTTTCCAGGAGTGCTTACTAACGACCACACATATTTGTCGGATTCGCAGTTTGATGAATGGAAACTGCGCTCTCTATCTAAACCAGAGTTAAATGCGCACGTTGAACGCTCCCCGAGCAACCGAGCCGCGCACGTTGCGTTTATTATCGCGATTGAGAGTAAAGTTCGTGAAGACGGTCCCGAGTGAATTACGTTTCAAACTAATATTCTGGACGTGCATATAGAGATAACTTGATTATTTTTATGCCGATCCTTATCAGAAAAGACTTGACTCTAATCTGGCTTCTAAAGAGAATAAAGAAGAACTAACAATAACTTGATTGCGCCGTATTAATAATTAATTGCGGTATAATTTGATGTCTATCTGTTCAGTCCGATAATAAATGCGAATTAATATAATAGATGTAATAGACGACGCCAATAATATAGAATACGATACAATATTAATTTCATGATAATAAATTGCGAATGCAATATCACGCACGGACTGATTTAATTGGATTATGTATTTAGCAAAAGTAAGCACGCGTGATGGAAGTTAAGCACTGCGTTTCGCTCGAGGCAAAAACGGACTATTACGAGCACGTAACTTAGGTAGTAATCTCTCGTGTATGCGGCAAGTGAACAGTTCACAAAGTGAACACTATTAATCTCTTTCACATTACATTCATATCATACAAGTATAATTGCAATATATGTAGTAATATATCGAATATTTTGTCTTTTACGTACGATGAGTTTTAGAATAGATTTTGCGGAGAAAGAAAGAAAACAGTTGATAACAGTATATATTAATGAACCGAAAAAATCAAACTTTTCTATCCGTGATATTTTTCTCTCTGATAAAATTAGATATAATATGGAGAGCATATGTAGTTCCAACAGAAAAGAGAATATATGCTCTAAAAAACCTCCGCGAATAAACTCGTACGTCTCTTCTTTAGCTTAGCAGAAACTGACAGAGAATTGACAGGCCACGTTAAGAGAGATATATCCGAGAACAAATTCTATCTGAATTTACACCAATCAATGTTGGTTTTCTGCCAACGCCACACGTTCCTGATCATGATTACAACAGAAATGCAAAATGATAAAGAAGTATTACCTCTCACTATATTTTATAAAAATATCTCTTATTCATTCAATAAAAATCACACAATAAAAATGATACAGTGTTTTTAATTTAACTTTCGATTTATGTATTAACTTTTATCAAATGCGTTTGAATATTAAAAATATTATCATTGCGAGTAACAGATGCGAATTGGCATTTAATATAAGTAAAATGAAAATATTAAAATTTATGTTTCATAATTTATAATTTTGTATATAATTGCTTGAAAAACTCGTCGAGTAATTAAGAGATTACTTAAATTTTTCAAAAACTTTTTTTTATACACAAATATACGGATTTGTATGTTCTTTGATAAAAACGCGCTTTAGCACTTTTGGAACATTTATTCTGTTACGAATCATGGAAAGTCCGATTCCTACCAATAAAGTAACAGTGTTTCACTTTGTATGTCGACATTAATTAGATGTTTCTTGTATAAAAGAAAATAAATTGACAAATATATACTTTTTAAAAATAAAATACTGAAATGTGGCCGATATATTTCACAGAAATTTTTAACAATGCAAAATCTCTTTTGACTCTACACGTATTTATATTTACAAAGACTTGCTTATATTATTTTCAATAATTAGACAAGTTCTGAAAATATGCACGTAATACACACAACACGCTCTCTTGTTTACATGCGTTGAGATCAGATATTGTGATCAGACTCTTCTTTAGATTCTGTTACACGCCTTATCTCCTGTAACGTAGTTAATATGAAACACATTGCCGAAAGTTTTCGAAAGAGATTCGCTTTCATACAAGTTACTAACACGATACCGATATCGAAGCCCCTCTTACGTAGGCGATGCCCGACAAATCTCCTCGGATTCCTTCAATCTTTCGCGACGAGATGCGCGTTTTTCCCCCGCGGCGAGAGGATCCGGAGTAGGAGACCGTCTCTCGTAACCCAAGTCGGCTACTCCGCCTCCCGTCGAGCCGAGCTCTCGAGGAAAGCTCAGGGCGATTATATCAAATTCTTTTCCCCAGAGTAGACCACCCGTTCGCCCTATCGGTTGCTCTATCTCGTCACACACCCTTCTCCCTCTGTCGTCGTCCAGTCCATCCCCGTTTCCCCTCGATTCCAGCTATCCCCTTCTGATCCTTCGATACACGCAGCCCTGTTCGAGTGTTTACTCGCGTGCTCGAGTTCTGTCAGTATCACACGCCGTCCGCCAAACAAATCGATCTCTCCTCACCCAGTTCGCGTGAAAGGGATTTTCGGACTGTGCACGGCACGGCGCGACATCACGGCTTGACCGATTTTCCTGTCGGTTCAGAAAAATCGCAAACTGAACACACGAAGAGGAACGAAGATCGAAGATGTTGCATCGAACATTGTTGCAACCGTGAATTTTACAGCGCGTAGACGAACGGGGAGAGCTTCGCATCGAATGACAATAGCAATTCCGATCATATGATAGCATGTATACCTGGAGCAGCTCAGTTTCATTGTATTGGACCTTTGTAAAAAATCGAATTTCGAGTCATGTTTATATATGTATACACTCAAAAAAATGTCTTTGAAAAATTGAGAGAAATTGTTTAAAAGAGCTAGATAGATTGGGCGCATTATACAAATATGTTATATGTGAGGATTATATATTCATTTGTTTCTTGTCGCTAATTTTTTCTGTGTACCACAGCCAAACTTTATGACAAGTATGATTGGCCTTAACATGGATAGGCGCCACAGAAAAACATTCTTTCTAAATTTCACAAACAGTTTAGATATAAATTCTGTCTCTGTCACTTAGATTGATTAAATGCGAAACATATGCGATATCACAGTATTTGCTAATCATTTATGTATCTCAGTTAATTTTGCGCACCCAAAAAATTTTTGCTGTAGTTGCAAAACCACTTTTTTGAGTGTACACGTAGTACACAAGGACAATAACCAAACTTAAAGATCTAAAGATTTATTTATACATTTGTCGAGTTCTACGCTTATTGAAATTCTCCCTCGCCTTTTTCGCGATGTTTACAGCATGAATCAAAGGATAATTTTATATCCGTCACGGAATAGAGATGTCCGGAAACAATACAAATGGATCTTAATAGGGGTTCAACCCTTCTATAGTGTAATTATATCAAAGCGTCCATCAGTGTTTCTGAGCTTCTATACCTAACTACAACACGCTCCTTTATCGCGCGGAAATCCTGAATATCCAATAATTGATCTGAATTGATCGCACATATACGATCTGCGGCTAACAACCCGCCGTTCTGTACTCGGCCCTGAGGGAGAACGCGGAAGGGCAAACAAAGGCGAGCACGCTCGCGCGCGCGGCCAGCTGCGCGCACGGGGGATGAAAATAGGGGGTCGCGCTCACGGGCGGTCGCTGCGCCTTTGACCGCCGTTGACCGCGACGTGTCAGCGTCATGTTACTTACATGTCCAAGGATCGGCCACGTTGAACGCCTCACTTAGGTGTACCAAGAAGACGGTTGGTCTCAACGACGAGCAGCACGTCGTCGAGTACGCGCGACGCGATGCCCGCGTGTCCTGATTGTGATGAGCGCGCGCGCACGCACGTAAGCAGGCAGGCACGCATTCACACGCACGCAGTTTCCGGTAGTCGTAGCAGTTCCTTTCCTCGAATCACTGCGCACACAATTTCCCGTCACCGTCGTCGCTTTTCGCGCCGGACACTGTCGTCGTCATCGTCGTCGTCGTCGTCGTCGTCGTCGTCGTTTCCCACTTCGATTGCACGAACATTGTCATTGGCGTTGTCTTCTCGCGTGGCACTGATCCAGCAGCGCGGCTGTGTCACAACACGACTTCCCTCATCGGTGATAAACGCGTAGCATGACGCGCGTGTAATGTATCTCTCGCGCGAAGATCGAGCACGTCGCACGATTGGACGACACGAACGAGCGAACGAGAGTGATATCGCGGATTCCGCGTCGTAAACGAGCCCTTCCTTTTCGCCGCTATTACCCGAACAAACCGGGTATCTCTTTTTTCTCTTGACCGGCCGACTAACTATCGGAAAAGAACGAAGGGCGAGGGTAAGGTGACGGAGATCTGTTTGAGGCGCCGCAAAAGCTTCGGGGTGCGATATTCAGGGTAAAAAGGACTACGCTCGCGCACGACGACAGCGAGCTATATTCGCCGTACAAAGTCGTGCGCGACGAGCGACACGGGCTTCGCAGACGTTAGCGAGCACTCTGCACGAGCTCTGTCGGCCAGGGATACACGAACGTACGAACGAACGAACGAACGAACGAACGAACGCAGTAGTAGAACGGACCGAACGGGGCGGCCAAAACGCGTCGGAGAAGGAGTAGGAGCGAATATAGGATGCGGCGGCGACGGCGGCGGCGGCGGCGGAGGAGGAAAGAGGAGGAAGAGGAGACAGAGGCGGAGAAGGTGGTGGCAATGGTGAACGAGGGGATGACGCGGGGTAAAGAGTGGCGTAGGCGCTCGGGGGACGATGGGGTTGATAGCGAAACGGGGGTGGCTCGCCAAGCCCGGTGGTCTCGCGCGCGCTCGCTCGCTCTGCTTGTTCGGCTGCTAGTCGGCCGCCGTCGCCGCGCCAGGCTGGCTCGCTTTTCGCTCACCCCTGCTTGCGCAGCATCCGCGCCGCCACCACTACCATCGTCACCACCACCATCGTATCCACTTCTACCTCTACCTCCACTGCCGCCGCCGCCGCCGCCGCCGCCGCCGTTGTCGCGACCCGGCCAAACCCAGACCCGGCGCGGCGTAGGTACCGCGGGCTCGCGACTCCCGAGCTCCAGGCCGCCCCAGCTGCTCGTTCCCCACCACTCGCGCGAACATCCCCTTCCGAATTCCAGTGCCGTACATGGATGTAATGGCACCTCGACCGCCCGCGACTCTCGGGCGAAGGCGCGAATCGACGAATTGATCCGGTAATGAGCGCGCGGGTCGCTGCTTGATGGGTGGGACGATGCTTGCGTCGCGGGTGTCGAGCGTAACGACGAAGAAGAATCGTAAATATATGTGGAAATGCCGCGGGCTTAATTACCCTTTTCGGACGAAGAGCTCTGGACGCAGCCGAGCTCTGGTGGCCGAGGATATTGACGAATCAAGGGGCGCCGGCTGAAGATCGAGACGCGCGCTTACTCTCGAGTCTTAGGACCTCCGCACACCTTTCCGAATGCCTCTTAATCTCGAATACGATGATAAATGATGTGATCCCTAAAGGGAATCGGGTGTGGGTTAAGCTTGAAAGAAGCGTGTCGCTTAGAAATCGAACGTATTGACAAATTAAGGGTTGCAGATTTAGACATACGAGAGCGTTACGCATTAAACATCCTTGTAATCCTTTTCGCGCTCGTTATTTTCTTTATAAGCGAAGAAGGTACAATGCAATATTGCAATGCCTTTAAAAGAGAAAAATGCGGGGGGCGGCTGATTTCGAGAAAAGCGTGCCACGCTTTCGAAGAAGGTCTCATATTAAGCCGGTATCGAGGGATAGGTAACTGGATAAGAGCGGATAAAATCGGATAGAAATCCCATCGGAATATATTTGGATCCATCCGGATTTTTCCCGATACCATAAGTTCCTATATGGAATTTTTCGGCAACCGGGGACGGGGGGAGGGTGGATAAAACCCAGGCTGAGAGCCCAGGCGAGACCGACGACGCCGATAAACTCCGCGGGGATCCGCGACGGCGGAGGAGGCTCGCCAAGATATTTTTATGAAAAATTCAGCTCGCACGTTTGTGGCGAGGAATTTTTTAACGAGCAACGCGGCAAAAAGTTTGCCTCGAATTGGAAATTCCGACTGCATTAGCGAACTTTCGTGTTCTGGATGCGCGCGGACGCGCGCCCAGTACGGTCCGGTTATTATACGCTAAGAGAGCATAGTGCGCGCGCCAACAGTCAAGAACGCTTTAGAGAAAGAAAAGAAAAAGTAAGGGAGAAGGGAAAGGAGGAAAGAACGTCGGGGACGGACATTACTCGACCCAGTTTCTTGTCCCTGGTAGTCGGGCCGCGCTTGTCTCGCGCATCTACGTAAATGGCCCTCTCTTAAAACGGCCTGGCAATCAAATACGTATAAATGGACCATCTTCCGTGTCTCTAGATGCAGATTTTATGAACGACGGACGATCGCGCTCGCGTGCAAAGTGACGTTCGCTCATGCGTTTGAGAAAAAGAATCGCGCACGCATTACGATTCCTCTAATAGCGTTCGATTATTACATGTATGCGAGGGCTTTACGTGCGCGTTTTCGCACACGTACGGGATTTTTTTTTTCTACGACGAGGCTATCAACTTGTCTTAATTTATTCAAGAGAGAAGCCAATAATAATTATTTACGTGAAACAACGATAAGAGATGAAACCCGTTTAATTATCCGGGGAGAAATTATCGATTCAAACTGGCTATTTGCCACTTGAATTAATCAGATAACGAATCACAAAGGTGGAATTATTCCCGGATATTGAATAATTAAAGCGCATGGAAACGTTTCTTATATCCGAATCGCGTATACGAGAAACTCGCGGATTTAACAAAGAACGAGCATTAAGAAGAAACAATTCTTTTAAAGAGAGAGAAAAAGAGAGCCTTCTGATATCATTTCATTTTGCAACGCTTCGATGCCGCTTGATTCTCTTTGCGGTAGCGCCGAAAGAGTTATGCTCTTTGATGACGAACGTAAGAATGATCTGTCTAGAGAGAGGAAGAAAATCGAATACTTTAATTGACTGATGACAGACTATGGAACTATGAGGAGTGTTTTCCCAAAAGCAATCGCTTTGGTGTAACTGAGCGCGCTAAATATTCCGTTTGAATAAATAATCGCACCTCGCGGATCGATTTGCGCCGACAACGCGGCGCCTGCCGAGAGACGGAGCGATCCTCTATAAATCGAAAAAAATAGAGTTATTTTGGCTATAATCGGTAATTCAAATTTGCGCGAAAATGTCGCAATGTTTTTGGCTGTACAATAGTAGCAAAAAACTGTCAAAATAAAAAAAGAAACATATTTTTTACGTTTATACTGTTTGAAAAATCAAATAAATAAATCCGGATTATAAAAAGAATTAAAGTATTACAAAATAATAAATTTTTAACGTAAAAGAAAATAGTTGTAATTAATATTTTTCCTATTTTATGACAAAAACTTTTGTTCGTGAATACCCTTTGAAATCAACTGCAAGAAACAAAAAAAAATGAGTAATTTGCAGAAAAAGAGAGAGATAATATTTTTCTACAATTTTTAGTAAATAACTTTTAAACGAGTAAGCGAATATAAATCAAGTTCTGCACAAATATTTATTATTGTTTTTCAATATATATAAAAATTTTTATTTTATTAGCAATGTTTTTTCCTTGTCAAATTGGTCAATAAATGCTACAATACGCGATTATCTATAAGAATCAATACCAATTTTAAATTTAAATAATTTCCAAACTATTAAGAGAATTGTGCTCAAGTTCTGCACAGATACTCAGAAGAAATAGTAGAACAGTTTACGAAAGAGCTTTCATGCTTTTGTCAATGTTTTGACGTATGACACATACATCCTTAGATGCTTACTTTCAGAATATCGAAGCATTCAAAGATACGATGATTACGATGGAAAATAATTTATATGACAAGTGACTTTCGTGAAACTTTTTTCACACATTTGCAGCACAACATCCATTTTTTGAAGAATTAGTGTGGGAGTGTAAATTTAATTTAATAACACAGATTATTTTACGAAAATACCGTATTTACACTGCACATTGTATCGTATTGAAGTGGATATAACGCCTAAGAGAATTATGTGTCCCAAGGCGATAATAAACATCTATCTATCTCTATTTGTGTATCTATCTATACTAATTAAGTTAAGTTTGTATTAAAGAAAATTAGTAGCAACTGTTCCTTTATACCATGTTATATGAGTTCCGGAAACGTTTAGTTTTTAATTACCATTTGTCAATGTATGCGCGCGGTTTAGAAATGCCTATTATTAAATGTCCCATTAAATTCATTACATATCCGTACGTATTTATGTACGTACATGCGCGTGGACGCAGACACGCACATTTCCCAAGGCGATAATAAACATCTATCTATCTCTATTTGTGTATCTATCTATACTAATTAAGTTAAGTTTGTATTAAAGAAAATTAGTAGCAACTGTTTCTTTATACCATGTTATATGAGTACGAAAATAGATTCATGAAAACATGTATCCGGAAACGTTTAGTTTTTAATTACCATTTGTCAATGTATGCGCGCGGTTTAGAAATGCCTATTATTAAATGTCCCATTAAATTCATTACATATCCGTACGTATTTATGTACGTACATGCGCGTGGACGCAGACACGCACATTTCGTACGCGTACATGAACGTGTCATCATTTCGCTCGGCCGCAACAATGAACGCGAAATCGTTCTCCGATGCGGGCCGTCGTCGTTGGGGAAAAGAGGAGAGCATAATGATACTAAATTTCCCGTGACAAACGACGCGACCACTCCGACGGAATACCGGCGGTACCATTTTTAAAGCTCACGCTCCGCTAAAAACGCTCGCGGGACACGCTCGAAGGCGCATCATATAAGCGCGTACGTGTTACGTAAATTGTACATGTGTACACGTATACAACTGTGTAAGCG